GCTTCATACTGAGATGCTGAGTAGTCCCCGGGAAAGGAGCTTGGTGGGGCCACTCTGGCACCTCGGGGCGCTGGCCACCTCTATGAAGGCTCACTGCAAAGCAAACACTGAATGCTATTTTCTGTTTTCAGTATGTGCTTCAGTTAGCAAAAAACAGGCACTAATGTAGGGTCGATTGCAAAAGCAAAGTAGCATAAAACAAACTTTTGAAAAGCAGGGGACACCTGTAAATCAATGGAGTTAATGAGTCTATTTATTTTGCCATCAGCCCAATTTCCTTTCTGATCTTTGGCAGCCTACTAGCAAACTCAATTACTGACAGTGGCTCAGGCCCCTCTCTGCTCTTTCTTCCCTGGCCCATGGTGCTCAGTCCTCTCCTGTGGCTTCATGTGCAAACTCTGCAACCTAGCCAGGACTGCGCACACTCACCTGGCTGAGGAATGCAAGTGAATGCTGTGGTCAGCCCCTTCTCTGCATTGGAATGTTAGTATGTTCAATGCGTTTTAGTTTACACATCCTGTGATTTCATTCAATCTTTACAGTAACTTGGTGATGGAGGTATTATTTTTATCTTCAATTTACAGTTGAGAAAACCAAGTTAAGGGGGAGTTTCCCAAGTAGTAAATGACAGAAAGATTTAAACGGAAATCTCTTAATTCCTTATTCATTTATAAAACAAATGCAATTTTGCTGTATTACAGTTGCCCTTGACATTTTACCTCAGTACCATTTTTCTAATACACATTTTGCAAGAGTATTTTTAATGATGACATTACTAATGCACATTATAAAGCCACATGAAAAATACAGAAAATAGTGAAAGGTTTTCAATCATCCATAATCTTTTTAAAAATATATTTTATTGATTTTTTACAGAGAGGGAGAGGGATAGAGTTAGAAACATCTGTGAGAGAGAAACATCGGTCAGCTGCCTCCTGCACACCCCCTACTGGGGATGTGCCTGCAACCAAGGTACATGCCCTTGACCGGAATTGAACCTGGGACCCTTCAGTCCGCAGGCCAACACTCTTTCCACTGAGCCAAACCGGCTAGGGCAATCATCCATAATCTTACTACTCAGAAGATAACCACTATTTTTTGTGTGTGTTTTTTTCTTTATTAAGATAATCACTATTAATGTTTTGGTGTATTTCTCTCTAATTATTTTTCTGTGAATTCCTCCAAGTATAGTTCTTTTGACATTGTATTTTAATTTAGAGTTTGGTATCACATTCCATTTTTATTATCTTGAGTGAAGTGGTGTGGCATTCTAGCTTTATTTTATTTAAAATTTTACTGCATCACCTTTTACTGACTTATTTTTTCTGTTTATATTTAAATGTAACTTAAGAATTTATCCACTTTTCTAGAGTTCTTTTTTTAAATTGATTTTAGAGAGAGAAGAAAGGAGAGGGAGAGAGAAAAATATCGATCAGCTGCCTCCTGCATACCCGCTACTGGGGATCGAGCCAGAAACCCGGGCATATACCCTGAACGGGAATCAAACCAGTGACCTCTTGGTGCATGGGAAGACACTTGACCAACTGAGGCACACGGACCAGGGTTAGAGTTCACTTTTTCAGGATTAGAGTCGTGCTTTTCAAAATGTGCTCAGACCAGCAGCACCAGCAATCACTTGGAAGCTTGTAAGAACTTCAGATTCTCTACTGAGTCAGAATCCCCTGGTTGAGGCAGAACCCCTGTTGTAATAAGCTCTGCAGGTGATTTTTCACACATGATAAAGTCTGACTAAGATATTGGGTTTTCCATTTGTGTCGATGAGGCAAAAACAGCTCATAGGCCTGTTAAGGACAAGCAGAATAATCAGCATAGTTTGAAGGAAAAAGAAGAGGTTTTGCTTCCCAAATGCCCCACAGCCACTGCCTTCATCATCTACTCTCAGTTACCTGGGTCGAGATGTGTGGCCCTCTTTAAAATGCTAACATGCTTACGTAGAAATGCAGATGTGACTGATGCTTCTCACCCATGGTGCTTTCATACCTGGGCATGTGCTTCTTATGGTGAGCCAACTCAGCATCTCTTCAAGATAATTCACAGTCTTGTTAAGGAAATAAAATGTTTGTATATGAAATTCAATCAACAATTAATCAAGCCCTAGTTTATCATAATTAAGTATTACAGTACATGAAGTGAGCAATGAATGGCTTTAACTGTATAGAAAAATAGACATATTGCCTGCAGGGGGTCTCCTTAAGAAAGGAGGAATGTGAGTGGGACCGAAATATTAATTATCATATTGATCATAAAAATTCCACCTATTAAATATTTACTATGGCCAGATATAATGTTAAGCAAATGCTATTGGTTACTTCCTCCAATTCTCAAACCACCCTTAAATATACCCATTTTCCATGCAAGGCTAAATAAAGTCATGACACTTTGCCACAAAGCACTTCATGGAATCAGAATTTCAGCCCAAGTCTGTTTGACCTCTGAGCCCTACTTCTTACCACATCTGCCTCAGTAGTTAACTCTGATTAAGAAAGTTTATAGATTGAGAAAGAGGCTTGTAGTATATATATTGCAGATGAAGGCAAGCCCAGGATGGGTGAGCAATCTCCTATGTCAAATTCGCCTGACCAGAGTACAAGGTTTACATTGGCAAGTTGCTAATACCAGGAAAGATCGATTGGATTATGGAAAGTCTTACATGCATAGAGGCTGATCTGAGATATAATATCATAGATACTGAAGAACCATTACACATTCTTTGAATATTATGGAGGTAATGTTTTAGGACTAGAATAACATTGGATAATAAAGCATCATTTGGTGGGAAGTGAAGAGATATTTGGGTGAGATGGTGGATTAAAAGGGTGATTGCTATAAACCAGATATCAGGTACTAAGGAAAATGGCTGGGTGTTGGCAAGAGAATACCTAATTATTAAATATTAGAGAAGAAAGGTGAAAGGTTTTAATGGCAGTTTGGCTGAAGGGACTTTAGAATTTGAACTTGACATTGTGGATGACTTTGAGCTATACTGAGAAATTGTAATGATCTGGAGAGAGGTTCTCAAAGATGAATAATTAATTAGTTTATTTTCAGAGGTTGTGGGTTTAGGGCATTTTGAACTCTCTTCCTATGTACATTCACTTGGTCTCCATGTCCTATTGCTATTACAAACATGTGAATCAGTCGTGTCTACTCTGTGCTTATATTCTCATATTAAAGGCCCAGTGCATGAGATTCATGCACTCGGGCAGTTGGTGGGGGGGGTTCCCTCAGCCTGGCCTGCACCCTCTCACAGTCCAGGATCCCTTGGGGGGTGTCCGACTGACGACTTAGGCCTGCTCCCCAGGAGGAGCGGGCCTAAGTCGTCAGTCGGACATCCCTAGCACTGACCACCAGGGGGCAGCTCCTGCATTGAACATCTGCCCCCTGGTGATCAGTGCATGTCATAGCAACCGGTTGTTCTGCTATTTGGTCGATTTGCATATTAGCCATTTATTATATAGGGTAGAGCTAGTTATCTTTCAACTGGCCTATGGCAGTAACAGCCTAAATGCTCTCCTGACCTTCACTTCCCTGGAATATAATTTAACTACTAGGAGTTTTCTTTCCAAAACCTGCATCTAATTGTGACCTCTTCCTGCTTCAAGTTCAAAATTACTTCCTCACTGCCTTTCACTTGGTATGGTATTCAAAATTAGAACAACCATAATGTATTATCCAAATAAGACACTTGGGAGATTGAAAGTGGACGAATTAATCATTATGTGGGATAAAAGTTGGATGGCTTCTGCTTAACTTTCTAGCCACATCCTCTTCCAATAGCACTTTTTGCATAAGCAATACCCACACAGAGAGCAAATCCTACTCCAAAAGCCCTTTATCTGTGTTGTTCACAGCTGTATCTGTGTAGTCTAATCCACTGCTCAATGCATCGTAGGGACTTAGTAACTATTTGCAAGAGAAATTAAGGACTAAGTAAATAAAAACATTTTAGAATTGTTTGAGTCTAGTGTGTTGTTGTTGAAATGAGGTAGAATTGGAGATCTAACATCTTTGCAGAGAGGAAACCATGGAAAGCAAAAGGGAGGCACGGAGAAGGTAAAGGAGGAAGGAAGGAAAGGAAATCCCAAGGGAAGATCTCCTACTCCATAATTGAACAAAGGGCAGATGTTGGGAGTAGGAGTTCAAGTGCATGGTACCTAAAGACTTCAGGACTTGCATTTCAGAGATGTGGACTTTTATTAGAATTTTTAATTTTGTACAGCAATCTTTCAAATTCTTCAGAGGTATCAAAAAAATTTTTGCAATAATATTTTGGAAGTTATGACTACAGAGGTGACATGTAAATGTCCATTTTGTACTTTGGAAAACAGTTGCCATCTCCAAGAAGAGAAAATGTGTCAGGAGCATGAGAACAAAAAGGAAAACAATGAAAAAGAACCTGTAATTCAATTAAATCGATGGCAGTTTTCTACACCAACAAGATTTGATGTAATTAAAGCACTTGCAACAAAATGAAGCAGGGACATTGTTTTCCTTTTTCCTGAAATAAATGAAGAATAGAAATCTCATGACATTTATACCACTATACAAAAAATGTGTGTGTGTGTCTGTGTGTGTGTGTGATCTCTTAGTTGATAGTCAAGCAAAGCAGACAACACGTATCTTGTAAAATAACAGCCCTTACAGTAAGAAGATGGTATCTATAAATATCTATAGATTCATTTTTTCTATGAACGTGAGCCCTAATACAATAAACATTACACCGATTAAACAATTTCATGATTTTTAAGACTATTTCCCAATAATAAAACCATAGCAGGAACTTATTATCTTTGTTAGGACAGAAATGCTTATAGAGTAAAAACCAAACCATGAATGTAAATGTAGAGGAAAAGAATGCTCATTCTAGCAAGAGGATACAGTCCTCAGCAGTGGTTAGCCAGTATGTGATGTGTTCCTGGGGCATTTGTCCGGGGAGCCATTTGTTCCGTGCTGTGCTCACGTAGGATATTTCTTTCCAGCCATCTATGAGCCGTCCTGCGAAGCGTACAAACACCTAGGCCAGACTTCAAATTACTACTGGATAGATCCTGATGGCAGTGGACCGCTGGGGCCTCTGAAAGTGTACTGCAACATGACAGGTAACGATGCCATATTTACGTTTCATGAGCATGGCTTTTCTGTGTGTTGAAAATAAGTGCTGCTACTGAAGTTTGTTTCTTCTGCAATTTCTATGACAACACACAATAAACTAAATATTGCAGGATTTGTTAGGTAAATAAATGGTGTAATGTATTTCTAAAGAAATTATACTTTCCGACACTGAATGTAAAAAAACACAATCTACCTTCTGACTATAACAATAAAAATGGCATTTTAAAAACATCTGGAGTATGGAGAAACCCCAGAAAGTGAACCAGAAAGGTTGAAGTCCAAGGAAAGAGCTGGTCCATGAAGCAGCGCCTGCAGGTCCCTAGCCTGGGGGAGGTCAGCATCTCTGCTCAGCCTCCCACACTGCCCATGCTATGGGAAGCCCACAGACCACTCTCCATACTTCCTCTGTTCCCCATAGTTATAAAAGGAACTCTTCTGGGTGCTGAAATCCCATCTGGCAAAGGCAAAACTTGCCTGCAGCTTTCATGAAATGTATCTGCTTGAGAAGGAACCTAGTGTTTCCCTGTTCCATATTAAATTTCAGGGGCTCTTGCAAACTCCCACCACAGTGTGTAAGATGTACAGCTCTCTAGAGCCTATTTTCTATCAGACACGGGGTGACTGACATCTTACTCTCTGAAACTGAATTTTTGGACTGGAACACATGGTGTTCCCCTGGGCAGAATCTCCCGGATTCTTTGTCCGCCAGAGTCAAAGAATGAATCCACGGACAGAAGGTAGTCTAGTAAAGGTGGAAATTTATTAAAGAAGAAGTACAGACTCCCACGTGGGGAGGGAGCAAGAGTCCCACTGAGTTCATTCTCCCTACGGCTTACAAAGGCTGCAGATCTTGGTGTCTTGACATCCCCTCTGATTGGTCACTATTCCCTGGTTACTATGTACTAACTCCTGGGCTCAAAGGTTGAACCTCACAGGTGGAACCTCTCCCCCACTCCTTCCTTATTGTTTTAGTATTCCTTTTGGGCTTTGTTTTTCTTCTTGTGGATGAAAGGCTTTCTTCCCTTTTTTTTGTAAATATAGACCTTTTGCTGTTCCCAGCTCCCTCATTCTATGGAAATGTACCTGTTGCAGCTTTTCAGCTTCCCCATTCTATGGAAATATAACTTCTGCTTCTCTGCAGCCCCGAGTTTCCTCCATGGTCCCCTTAATTTCCAAAATTTCCCAAACCTGTCCCATTTTACCCTAAAACTCCTGTTTCACCTCCAAAACCCAGAGAAGAGTGTGTGGCGTGCACTGCTCACTGGCTGCAGAGGAGGATCAGCACTGCATGTGAACTCCTGAGCAAGATGCTAAGGATGATGATCCCATAATGCTACTGATGATGGCTGCTACTGGACTGCTTGCCATAGGTCAGGTACCCTGATAGAGACCTTACTCAGACTATGGCTTTGTATCCTGGTTCCATGAATCAGTAGATATATAATCTTGGCTACCTTATTAACTTCATTAAACTCCATAAGCCTCAGTCTATTTTCCTGTAAAATGGTTTGATAATAATCTCTACCTCAGAGTGTTATTATATGAATGAAGTAAGATATCTGCATATGGTTCTTAGCACACTACCTGACACACAGTTAATTTTTAGTAAAGGTTGCCAGCAGTTGGGATGCTATTATTTTTTGAAGCACTTTGATAGTGAGTACTTCTATCATTCAGGCAAGACTCAAATTCAGATATGTGCGAAGCCAATGGTTCTTGAGGATGGATATGATTCAGAATCATGCATGGAGCTTTTTTTCTCCTTTTCCATACAACTTTATTGGCTCCAGCTCTGGAGACTTTGATTCAATAGGTGTGCAATGGACATAGGATTGGGTAGCTAGAACGAAGAACCCAGGCAAGCAGACCCCAGTGGAGAACTTTTAGCAGCATCAGGACCCAGACTGACTATGGCGCAGACAGAGAAGAGAATGATGAGGACATGAGTGTAGGATGGAAGGCGTGTAGAGAAAATGGTAAAATGGCAGCTATCCTCCCAAAAATTCCCTCAAGTGCCAAGTATTCTAAGTGTAGGAGAGAGCAGGAATTCACAGATCAGAAAGTTTGACATAAGAGTTGTTTGTTTGGCTTGTTAATGGCCTCAGGAACTTTCTTGTTCACCTTCACTCTAATTTTACTTGAACTAAAGTATAATCTATGAGAATTTGTTTGAATCTGGAAGAATCTCTCTCTCTCTCTCTCTCTCTCTCTCTTTCTCTCTCTCTCTCTCTCTCTCTCTCTCTCTCTCTCTCTCTCTCTCTCATATGTGTATATAATTTATATCAATTAAAGTCAACTATTATCCTCAAGGGAAATCAAGACATCCTGATTATGCTTGGAAAATTATGATTTTTTTTAGTTATTTGCCTATATGCATTTCACAAGAGAATTAGAAAGTAAACCCAAACCGTGATGAATATATTCTTTATGTGAATAATACATACAATGAAGGGCTGTTTAATTTCTCGAGAGATGACCTTTCTGTCAATTGAAGCCATCACTCAGAAGCATGATCTCCTTGTCATCAGTATCTCCCTTAAGGAGTATGGCTGCAGTTGAGTGCAGTATTCTGTTTACAGTCTGAACAACAAAGAAAACAGTCCAACCTTCTGCAACGAGCATATTTTTCTGCTGTCACACAAGATAGTTATGGACATCAGTGTGTCAGGGACCCTTGAAGGCCAGCAGGCACGATGTGGCCTTTTGCCATCTATCAACCCCTCCTTCATCTGTAAAGAAGGTGAACTTGACACCATTAGGAGAACATGGTACCACAAAGCCTGGCTTGGGCTGTTCCTTTTCCAAGAGATATATGTTGAAAAAGAGGAGGGAGTGACAGTGTGAGATTGTCTATGAAGACTTGATATATCACTCTGTGTCATGAGAGATGGTATATGTACCTTACTTTATAGCCTTTCTATTAAATAATAGAGCTGCCCCACTCCTCAGGAACCCAAATGTAATTGGGTGTTTATCACTGTTGAATATATCACATATTTCAAAAATGGAAGCAAGACATCTTCTCTAAGAAAGAAGTGAAAATTTTAAGGAAAGGGACCTCACTGGCAGCAAACATCTACCCCAAACAGTAAATTGGGGGGTAGAAAGTAAAAATAAAATAAAATAAAATAAAATAAAATAATATATATATATTATTTATAGTTATTTATAAAATATATATATATATATATATATATATATATATATATATATATTCCTCTGGGATCCTTTCTGTAGGTTTTTTTTCTTTTTAATTTATACATTCACTGTGTGCCAGGAGCTGTGCTGTGTCAGAATAAATGGATATAGTAAATGCCTTTATGGTTCTCACAACTTAGAATAAAAACAAGCGTTAAAAAGTAAACAAATAAGTAACTCTTTTAGAAAGAAAAATAATGGAATTGTAGGGATTTATTTTGGAGTGAGTATTTTAGGAAAGACCTCTCTGAGGAAGCAACCATTTAGCCAAAATACAAAGTATAAAAAGAGACAAGGCACTCAAAAAGGACAGGAAGGGAAATGAGCCCTATAAATTCATGCCCAAGGCACCCAAGATTGTTTCCGTGCAAAGAACTGAGACACAGATGCCTGAAGCAGAGTGAGCTGAAGGAGCTGAGAGTGCAGTGAAGCCGGCACGTAGGCAGGGCCAGAGCAGCCAGGCAGTGGGGATGCTGGTGCGGGGAAAAAGCTTGGGTTTTAATTTCCCAATTAAATCTTTAATATAGTAGGTGGGAATCTAGTGGAGGTTGTAGGCAAGAGAATGGAAGGGTCTTAATTAAAACCCCCACTTGGGGTTCTCTGAGAGACTGAGTCAAAGCACTGGGATCAGATGGGAAGTTGTCAAAGTCCAGGGAAGAGGTGCTGCTGCCTTGGACTAGGATGGTGACAGTTTAAATGAGGAGAAAGACATGGATTATAGATCTAGTTTGAAGGTAGTATCAGTGTTGGTGACGGGTTAGTTAAGCATGATTCAAGACAGTTATCAAGAATAACTCCTGAGCCCTGGCTGGTGTGGCTCAGTTGGTTGGAGAATTGTCCCAAGCATCGAAGGGTCACAGGCTTGATTCCCAGTCAGGGCACATTCCCAGGTTGGGGGTTGGATCCCTGGTCGGGATACATACAGAAAGCGACAGATTGATGATGGGATGATGGTCCTTTCTCTCTTTAACCAGAGGTTGCAGGTCCAATCCCTGGTCAGGGTACATACAGGAGGCAGCAGATTCTGATGGTTTTCTCTAGAATCGGTGTTTCTCTCCCTTTCTCTCTATCTAAACTCAATAACAAACAAACAAACAAACATATCCTTGGGTGAGGATTTAAAAAAAATAACTCATGAGTATATGAATTGAATGACTGAATGAATTATAGTGCCATTTGGGAGATGAGGAAAATTAAGGGAAGAACAGATTTAGAGGAATGTTAAGAATTCAGTTTGACCTAGTTAATTATGAGATGCCATATGCCATCCAAATGGAGATGCAAATATTGCAGTTGGATAAGGCCCCACAGGGATATTTGTATTAGAGATATAAACATGCTAATTGTTAGATTATAAATACATGAGAAATGATAACATCACTAAGGGGATGATGTGAGCAGGGGAGAGGCACCTTAGGAACAAGCTCAGAGGAACCGAAGAGAAAATGGGTTTCCAGTGATGAAATAGTCCGTAGGTGTGCAGGGGGATGTAATGGAGAGTAAGTGGAAGAAAAGTGTCTAAGAGCATTTTGCAGAAGAATGGGCCATCTGTGTGGATGATGAAGTGACTGCTTGGGTCTTGGAGCATGAGGAAAAGAGTTGGGGGATAGGAATCAATGCAAATGTATATAAAGTGAGGCTGCATTTCAGAAGTATGGCAAGTCCCAGCAGGCAGGATGCAGGGAATGGGGCATGGCCAGAGGGATGAACCACCCAAAGCACCTGCACAGACAGCTTTGGGAACCATGGGATGGGCGGGTAGACTAAACCCAGGAACCAGAAAAACCTT